ACAAAAGGCCGTGCGTGACCGGCCTCAAGCAGTTGTCCCTTGGACTCTGCGGTCACGCACCAACACTAATCCATCTTCCTTTTCAGGTCCCTCAAGAAACAACCTTCCCCGGTGTGGGCAGCCGGGAAGTGATAAGCGCCCTCATACCCGCAACAGCACACGAGACCAAATTTTTCAAAATCAAATCCTTCCTAAATTACCTAATACCTCTCTTATCTCCACAACTAACTCTTCTCACATTCATTTATTACAGTGCACAGCTAATGCAAACGATGCGAGTTTGCGAAACGTCGTTCCTGGTCTCCTTAAACCTCGTTCCAAACTACATGTTGGAGCATTCAATGTACGGACATTGTGTCAAATAGGGCAACAGGCGTCATTAGCTAGGACTTTAGAATCTCGTTCCATCGATGTGTGCTGCGTCTCGGAAACGCGCATACAGGATCCGAGTAGCATCACTCATTTGACCTCACCATGTCAAGATAAAGAAGCAGCTCGATTTACCCTTCGTGTATCCGGTAGCCCTGATGCTGCTTCTAGGGGCCTCGCCGGTGTAGGTATAGCATTGAGTCGTAGGGCAGAACAATCTCTCCTTGACTGGATCCCTGTAGATAGTCGCTTGTGCGCCGTCCGACTGAACGGGACAGTAAGGACTCGGAAAGATAGGGACACTCGCCGTTGCCTCTTCGTCATATCAGCCTACGCCCCCACTGACTGCAGCCCAGATGATGTAAAAGATGAGTTTTACAGAAAGCTTTCGGACCTCCTCCAAAAAGTTAAGCGCTCTGATATAGTTATAATGGCTGGTGACTTCAATGCACAAGTAGGTAGACTAAGTGAAAATGAAAGACACCTAGGTGGATGTTACGGTCTCGCGGCTCAAAGAACAGACAATGGCGACCGTCTGTAGCAACTGTGCTCAGATAACCAACTATTTCTAGCAAACACTAATTTTAAGCATAAGGAAAAACACCTTTTGACCTGGCGACCCCCGAAGTCGTCTCAACGTTGGACACAACTAGATCATATCGCCATCAGCCACCGATGGAGGGGTTCGATAGAAGACTGTCGCTCGTTCTGGGGCACATGTTTAGATTCAGATCATGCCCTAATGCGAGCACGTATTTGTTTGAGGCTTGCTGGACGTAGGAAAGACACCGTAAGGAAGCCTCTTAGGGCTTTACTTGATGATAATCAAGCTAAGAAAATATTTCAGGAGGAACAAGAAAAACAGTTAGGCGGCCATGCAAGTGATTCCCATCCTGAAGCAGGTTGGAATCATATCAAGAAGGCTGTGGAAACAGCAATGGTATCTGCTAGCAAGGTAAACCATAAGGCTAGGATGAAGCCGTGGATTTCAGTCGCATCCACCGAACTGATGGATGCTCGAAAACGCATCCCACCTGACTCTGAACATGATGAAGAGCGTAGTCAGCTTAGGCGCAGACTTATAAAAAGCCTACGTAACGACCGTGAACAGTGGTGGATGGCGAAAGCAAAAGCGATGGAAAAGGCAGCGGTGATAGGCAACACTAGACAACTTTTCCGACTTATCAAGGAAACTGGTATTAGGAATCATAGTGTAAGTGAGACTATCTCGGAAAAGGATGGTCTTATTATCCATTCTCAATCTAGGAGGCTGGACCGATGGGCAGAACACTTTAGGGATCAGTTCAACTGGCCTTCAGCCACACTTCGGTTGCCCACGATCTCCAGTCATCCTGAATGGCAAATCGATTTAAGTCCTCCCAGTTTACATGAAGTTGAGAAAGCTATAGGAAATCTAAGGGTAGGTAGAGCGGCAGGGCCCGATAGGCTTACCCCTGAGATGTTTAAGGATGGTGGTCCAGTTTTAACGGTTAGACTGACCGAGATCCTAGAAAGAATCTGGGAAATGGACGTAATCCCATCTGACTGGTCTCAGTCGCTAACTGTCCCAATCTACAAGAAAGGACAGAAGTCCTCTTGTGACAATCACAGGGGAATAAGTTTAACTAATATAGTTTCTAAATTGTTAGCCTCGATTATACTTAGACGTCTAACTAGAGCTCGTGAAGAGCAGACTCGAGAAAACCAGTCTGGTTTTCGACCTGGACGTGGTTGTATAGACCACATCTTCACACTACGACAGGTCCTGGAACACAGACACACATTTAGACGCCCAACAATAGTCGTGTTCTTGGACCTTAAGGCGGCATTCGACTCAGTGGATCGTGAGGTTCTGTGGCAGTGTCTGTCATTGAAAGGTGTACCAAAGAAGTACATTAACCTTATACAAGCACTCTACTCGAACACCACTGGTCGGGTGAGAGCATATGGCGAACTGTCATCTGAATTCTCTACATCAAGTGGTGTCCGTCAGGGATGTCCACTCTCTCCATTCTTGTTTAACTTTGTCGTAGACATCCTCTTAGAGTTAACATTAGGCTCGTCAGATTTCTCAGGGGTTGACCTTCTACCAGGAAAGTCGCTTACTGATCTAGAATATGCCGATGACAAAGTTCTATCCGGTGAAGAAGCTGACAAAATGCAGAGTCTTCTGACTACCATAAGCAACAATGCGAGCATGTTCGGGATGCGGTTTTCCCCCTCGAAATGCAAAATGTTGCTTCAAGACTGGATTGCATTGGCACCTGAACTAGTGATAGGGAGTGAAGTAGTCGAGCGTGTAGATCACTTCACTTATCTTGGGAGTCTCATCAGTGCTGACGGTCTGGTGACTGACGAAATCTCAGCTCGGATACAGAAAGCTCGATTGGCTTTTGCCAACCTGCGTCACTTATGGCGTAGGCGTGATATCCGTTCGCTAACCAAAGGGCGGGTGTACTGCGCAGCAGTTCGTTCCGTTCTCTTATATGGCTGTGAAACATGGTCGTTATGAGTAGATGTTCGTAGGTTACTAGTATTCGATCATAGATGTTTAAGAAGCATTGCTCGTATATCGTGGGACAGCCGAGTAAGCAATGCTGTCGTTAGGAAACGAGTACTAGGTAAGGATGTCAGGTCAATCAATGAAATATTGAAAATGCATCAGTTAAGGTGGTTGGGACATGTGTTACGTACGGCTAACCACCGACTGCCTCGACGAACTATGTTTTGTGGTGTAGGAGTAGGTTGGAAGAAAGTTAGGGGCGGCCAGACCAAAACATGGCACAAATCCATGAAGTCTCTGACAAGTGGACTGAGTCATGTTGGTAGATGTAGACTACCTGGTTGGGGTCCGCCAGACGAAAGTCATCAATGGTTAGAGACCTTGAATGACATGGCTCAAAATCGTTCTCAATGGCGGCGGTGCATTTATGCTTTGTGTTCTCTCAAATCCTAATCTTCTGGATTCTTCAACACTTCTAGTTTTGACTTTCTAAGCTTATCTCACTGAATCATATTTCTTGAATAGTATCTTCTAATCCTAACCTCTCCGATTACTTCTAATACCTTTAATACCTCTTCTACTATTGGATTTGAATTGACAATTACAACTCTGTGCTGATGTGGTATGGCGACATGAACTGATGTACTTACGTACCAAGTTCTACGTTGCATCTGACTGACTGCCAATGCTGTCTAACATGAAACAACGTCATGTTATGTACATCAGTTAAAGTTACAGTAAATAAATATATATATGAAAACAAGCAACCGGATAGAGAGAGAAAGACAATAAAATCACAATAAAATTTAAAAAGAAGAAAAACAACATACTCCATTCCTTGTGATGTTTGTTTAGCAATATCAATTAGTTCTGGCACATCGAAACGATGCTCTAACACATGTAAATGTTTATATAAACTGGAACCTTCACACCATTGAGTTATAATAGCTATACATGGTTTCGATACACAACCCATAAATAGAAGTATATTTTCATGTCGTGTTTTTCTGTGAATAAAAATGTTAAAAATATTCAATTAAAGAAATGTTAGTGGAAATTAGCGAATTAGTGAGAAAATGATCATTCGTAATAACTGGGTCTATACACTATTTACAGACGGTTTTGATAAATTGAACAAGTCACGATATACAAGGTTCTTTAGGTTATAGTTATGTAATGTACTGTCTAAGACACTATGATGGCTTATTGTGCTGTGGAATGATCTATCAGTGGTTCAATGGGTCTTTAGATTTTTCAAATTATAAAAATGATTTCTTATGGTGTACAGGGTTCGAGATGTGATACGCGTGATAAGCACAAATCCCCCAAAACTGGCTAATTAAACGAGAAGGCAAGGACAGAAGAGAAATTTTATTGGGCTACACAAATGGGGTCTGCGAGATAATACTAACCGATGGTTAGAGACCTTGAATAACATCTCGAAATTGTTTGCAATGGCGTAGATGCATTCAATTTTTGTGCTCTGCCACTTATCTGAATTCCTAATGACCTTTATATTTCTTTTCTCAAATTTATTGCAAAAGATTGTACTTCTTCAATAACATCTTTAAACCGTAATCTTTCCGATTACTGTTCATACTTCTACTACCTTGAATAATATGAAAAATGAAACGACTATTGCATCTCTGTGCTATCATGGTACAACTTGAACTGAAGTACGTCCGTACGAAATTCTACATTGTTGTTGACTGACTGACTAACTGAATATATACAAATATTGAGTCATACAGATACATATCTGCCTCTTAGAGTATAAATGACTTTCTTGACCAATGATATACATTTGTCTTTCAGGACGTCACCACGTAGCCGCTTCTGATTGGTTCACTACATCATAAACGTCATCACGAACTGACAGGAATAATAATAATAATAATAATAATAATAATAATAATAATAATGTTAAAGGAACAATTTGGATTGCAAATTAAACCACACAATAAACATGAACCTGTCAGTTTTACTGAGGATTTTGTCAGAAATCCTTGCAATTCACAATAAAACTTGATATCATTAAAAAAATGTACATGTTTTCATAAGAACGAAGCTAAAAGAAAATCACCTTAATACACTGACTTCATTTTTAAAAGCTTTCAATTGTTGCGGTGTTGGATCAACAACATTTAATTCTTTAATAGCAACATTTCCATGCCAATAACCTTTAAACACTGTACCAAATGATCCTGAACCAATTCTAGGACCTTTTGTTATTTCTAATCCATTTATTTCCCATTCATCATTTGAACCACGTCTCTAAAGATAATAGATAATAAGTGATAGATGATGCTTATAGAGGGTAGGTCGGTATACACACACATAGAAATGATATGTAAAATAACAACCAATGAATAGAAAAACAAACATACGAATACACATTCATTGACTGTGTGTTATTTTCCGTGAAAATTTCAAACAAAAACTAACGTTCATTTAGCAGAACGTTTAAATAAATGAAAGAATAATTGAAATCATGAATTTATCATTGATAGACTACCAATACAAACCTGGAAATCTATTTAGTCCTAAGATGGGACTCATTAGTAGTGCCGATCCGCAACAACCACTCACGGGGAATCGAACGTATTAAAATTCGGTCTTGCGCGAGAACGCTTAACCTTTAGACCACTACTACTGAGCCGGCACCCAATGGTATTAATGTCTAACTTTGCGCAACTTCAACGCTTGTATATTCGATAAGTAGCTGCCTAAGCCAGCTACATACATACAAATATGAAGTATAGAATATTCTTGTTATTGTGATACAATATTCAGTCAGTCAGATGCAACGTAGAACTTCGTACGTAAGTACATCAGTTCATGTTGCCATACCACATCAGCACAGAGAAGTAATTGTCAATTCAAATCCAATAGTAGTAGTAGAGGTAGTAAAGGTATTAGAAGTAATCGGAGAGGTTAGAATTAGAAGATATTATTCAAGAAGTATGATTCAATGAGATAAGTTTAGAGTCGAAACTAGAGGTGTTGAAGAATCCAGAAGATTAGGGTTTGAGAGAACAGAAAGCATAAATGCACCGGCGCCATTGCGAACGATTTTGAACGAATCAATGAATAAAATTGATTTATATGATGTAATACACAAATGTTAATACAAAACTTCAGTTTCTTTCGGTTTTCATTGACATAACATTCAAGTAAAACACATTATTATTATGTAGACGTAAGCTTGACAATCTTTTAAAATCAATGCGCTATTCCATTCGACCCTAGGACGTCTTCAATTAATACACATTATCCAAAATGATTTCAGATACTGAAATCAAATTTCGACAAACTAGTCATAACTAGTCATTGAACGTGGACAAAGAGGCACAATCTGTTAGCTATTAAATATGTGGTTACTTTTTCCCGCTATGCTATTGATTTGCTACTCTGAACTCATTGTGAGTGACTACTACTAGTTATAGTGTGGAATGGAATGTTGTCTATCTGTGAATAGTGTATCTAGTTAACATGTGAACTAGTGTCTGTGTAATATGAGTATTCAATCCAGTGATAGTCAATCAGTCAGTCAGCTATAACGTAGAACTTCATGAGTAAGTACATCAATTCAAGTTGCTATACCATATTAGCACAGAGACGCAACTGTCAGTTCAAATCCCATAAGCAATGAAGGTAGTAGAAGTATTAGCAATAATCGAAAAGATTAATGAATCGCATATTTCATTCAAGATGTATACCCCAGAGGAATCAGTTAAGAAAGATAAAAACGGTCATAAGGAATTCAGAGGATTATGACCTTTTCTAACCCCTTCCTTCCTTGTAAGAAAGCAACATCGCTGCAGATGCTAACTATCCGAGGGAAACACCTTACTGCTGTCACACCCATTTACAGTCAGCAGTACGACTTCACCCACAGACCTTGAGTAGCTGATTTTAGTCTCATCGTTCTCCAATCAACCTGTTTGGCATGACAAAACCTACAGGAACATATGTTCCAGCCAATTTGGCTGGGTTGGATCATCACGATAGGCGAACTCGATCACCACGTCAAGGTAACAGCTACAGTCGGGTAATCCAGTAATAGGATAAACTCAGTCAACTACTATTCAGTCTCATGGTCATCGCGTGTTGTTACGGGTATGAGGGCGGTTGTCACTTCCCCGCTGCCCACACCAAGGAAGGGTATTTCTTGAGGGACCTGAAAAGGAAGGTAGATTAGAGTTGATCTTGGAGACCTGGGAGCGTGACCGCAGAGTCCAAGGGATAACTGCTTGAGGCCGGTCACGCACTGCCTTTTTATGAGTTTTTTGAGTGCTAGCTCCGCGCTTAAAAGCCCTTGGTAGGCACACTTACCGCCAGAGATGGAAATCCGCGAGGTAGGGTGAGGTGTGACATTTTTAGGGTCGACCTTTACTAACCCTTCCTTCCTTGTGAGAAGGCAGCATCGCTGCAGATGCTGTCTATCCGAGAGAAACACCTTACTGCTGTCACACCCATCTACAGTCAGCAGTACGAATTCGCCCACAGACCTTGAGTAGCTGCTTTTAGTCTCATCTTTCCCCAATCAACCTGTCTGGCATAACAAAACCTACAGGAACATATGTTCCAGACAGTATAGCTCGTGGTTGGGTCATCACGATAGGCAAGCCCGACCACCACATCAAGGTAGCAGCTACGGTCGGGCTCATTGTCATCATATAACCGTAATCATACCGAATGGCAGTAAAAACAATATCTATCGCTAAAAAATCACCGTCATATCACTAAACAAACAAGCAAACAAACTGAAAAGAAAAAACAAAACTCATCAAAAATAAAACAAACAATAAAAAAACCCGTTCTTCTTCTTCTATTTACATTTTTCACTTTCATTAATTGTTTCGGATCACTACCAAATCGTTGATTATAAGGCAAAGTAGATAGATTCGATAGAAAATAACCATCACTAATAATGGTTGATGGACTTTCTGGTTGTACTACTCCGGCATTATTATTACCAGTATTAGTAGTAGATGTATAATTATGATCTATAAAGAAGAAATGAACAAAAAAACAAAACAATAAACTGATTGTGTACTATAGTGATGACCTTGAACGATGTATCAGCCAATCAGGGGGGAAAATAGAGAGTAAGTAGTTAGTTATGCAAAAAAAGAAGTAACAGTTTAATAATGGAAGTAAACTAGTGCATAGTTGATTAACCTTGACATGTGAAATTCTTTATTATGATTAATGTGGGCTTGGGTTAATAAGTAACAAACATACAGTTACACCGTAGAACTTCGTAAGTACGTAAATCAGTTCAAGTTGTCATGTCACATTAGTACACACAGAGAAGCGATTGTCAATTTTAAATCGCATAGTAGTAGAAGTAGTAAAACTATTAGCAGCACTATAGAAGATAAGGGATCGAAAATATTATTTAAGTATATCCTAGTGAAATAAATTTAAGAGAAAGATCGGTCATGAGGAATCCAAAAGAGTAGTATTTGAGAGAAGACATCTGTGCCATTTCATATTATTTCAAACCATGCCATTCGAAGTCTGTAACCATCAGTTAGCATCGTCTCATGGATCCAAATCATGGAGTCTACCTACACCTACTAACATGGCTCAGTCTAGTTTTCATTGGACTGATTCATGGATTTTTGCCATGTTTTTGGTTTGAATGCACCTAGCTTTCTTTCACCCCAACCCTACATCAGACAGTGAAACATGGCCGTTAAGAGTAGAAGACGTTCGTGGGTTTAAGAAGCATTGCTCGTATATCCTGGGACAACCGAGTAAGCAATGCTGTCGTTAGGAAACGGGTACTAGGTAAGGATGGCAGATCAATATATGAAGTGGTGAAACTTCATCAGTTAAGGTGGTTGGGACATGTCTGGGACACGTATGCCTAACCACTGAGTGCCTCATCGAGTTATGTTTTACGATGTAGCAATAGGTTGGATGAAAGCTAGGGGTGGCCAGAGCAAAACATGGCAGAAATCCATGAAGTCACTGACAATTGGACTGAGTCATGTTGGTAGATGTAGACCACCTGGTTGGGGTCTGCGAGACAAATGTCACCAATGGTTAGAGACCTTAAACGACATGGCTCGAAATCATTTGGAATGTCGCAAGTGCATCCATTTGTTGTGCTCTCTCAAATCCTAATCTTCTGGAATCGTCAGCACTTCTACCTTTGTCTTTCTAACCTTATCTCACTGAATTATACTTCTTGAATAATATCTTCAAACCCTAGTCTTCTTCATTACCATTAATACCTCTACTATCTTTATCACTATGGGATTTGATCTGACATTTGCGTCTGTGTGCTGATGTGGTATGGCAACATGAACTTATGTACATACGTACGAAGTTCTACGTTGCAACTGACTGACTACATCAGACAACATTGCTTGTCAAGGTAGCTGATGATTAGGCATACATAACGCATATTCCAACTACCGCAACTGATGAAGATTCAATACTTCAACTAATGATCTGCCATCCTTACCTAGTACTCATTTCCTAACAACTGCATTGCTTACTTGATTATCCCAGGATACACGAGCAATGATTGGAAGACTGCATGTTAAGTATCTTATTTTTTTTCTAACAATTTCTAATTTTCACCTCATTAATGAAAATATACAAGCTATCGGGCAATGTGTTATCAATATTGCACAGAAATCCACTATCTCAATCTTGATTATTTCACTCAAGCTTGACAGTATAGTATACAAAGTCACATTTTCGTACTGTATGAACTTGATTCGCTCTTTGCCTCAAACTACATTTGTGTTTATAGTCAGATCGGGTTTTGGTTTAAGGAACTAATTAAATGAAGTGACATGGAATGCTTCTGTTGTCATACTATCAAAACTATTATGACTGCTGGGCTGTGTAAACCTTCATCAGTTAAGGTGGTTGGGACATGTATCTCGCATGCCTAACCACTGACTGCCTCATCGAGTTATGTTTTGCGATGTAGGAATAGGTTGGATGAAATTTAGGGGTGGCCAGACCAAAACATGGCACAAATCCATGAAGTCATTGACAATTGAACTGAGTTATGTCGGTAGGTGTCAACTAACTTGTTTAGGGTCCGCGAGATGATAGTAATTGATGGTTAGAGACCTTGAATGATATGGCTCAAAATCGTTTACAATGGCGCAGGTGCATTCATTCTTTGAGTTCTCTCAAGTCCTAACCTACAGAGTTCCTCATCACTTTATCTTTTTCTCTTGATGTTTATTTCACTAGACTCTACTTATTGAATAATATCCGCGAACCCTAATATTTCCGACTACTGCTAATACTTCTACGATCTCTAGCACTATGGGATGCTAATGTGTTATGGCAACTTGAACTGATGTACTTACGTACGAAGTTCTAGATTGCTGTTGATTGATTGATGTGTAAACCTACATACGTGTACGCAATGACAAACAAACACCTTTACTATTTTTAGCTACCACCTTCTTCATCATGTGTTAACTATTCCTGAATGACCTAAAAAAACACTGATAATTAATAAGAAAGTACAGAATTATGCATCATGAATTGCAAAATTCAAAGAATCAAACATGCAAAATGACCACTAGAGTTCAAAGACACATATGTTGGGGATGTTAAATCCCCAGAACTCGTTTGATAAATATGTTTATTTTGGATTTTATTCATTGGTTGATCAGTTGACCTTGAGATCATCAGGAAAAGCCTTGACTGTGATTGGTTACTGTATTTTATTTTAGTGTGCTATTTTTGTGACTCTCCTAAGGGCGTTTCTATGATGTATAAATAGACACGATTTTTGTGCTTGCTGGGTGTTCGTAGAATATACCTTCTACGCTATATTATCAAGGCTTTTCGTTAGTCAGCGGATCAGAGTAGCCTACCTGGACCGTTTATCGACAATATACAAATATGAAGTATAGAATATTCTTGTCATTGTGATACAATATTAATGATAATAGGTACTGAGATTCACTGAAACACAATTAAAAAAAAACCTTGAATGGGACTGATATCAAAATCACATCATAAAAAAAGTACCTCTACATGCTTATTAACTTATAATGTACCTACTGACTGTTTTAGACTACACCTGGTTAATTAAATCATATCTCTAGGGTTATTCATTTATTGTTCTAATGAGAAGTAGTAACAAAAGTCAGTGCATGCAGAATCTTATAATTACACGTTTTTTTGTTTCTTTGACATGTTGTTTTGAACACACATCACGATGATGATGATGATGAACTTATGAGAGATTAACAATCTTAGAATAAGTTACATTGGTGATTGGTTCAAAACATAATTTAAAAAAGGTACTAGTGTTGTATTGCTACGTGTGTGTAAATGACTTGATTACACGTAACATGTGCTCACTAAGTGTTAATAATACTCATAGAATAATAATAACGCTCCAGTGAATATTCACTAGTAATCACAGAAATGATAAGGAAGGCATTCGTCAAAAATGAGTTCCCATTGATTCAAGAAAAGACAATCACAATAAAACATACATAAAAAGTGGTTCATTGTAAGTGATAATTGATAACAAATAAGAGCAACACAAGGAGCAGTTCATAGTTTCATAACGAAGGAATATCATATGTCAATCAGTCAGTCAGCTGCAACGTACAACTTTGTATGTACGTTCAAGTTGCCATACTACATTCAGTCAGTCAGGTACAACGTAGAACTTAGTACGTAAGTACATCAGTTCATGTTGCCATACTACATTAGCACAGATATATAATTGTCAATTCAAATCCAATAGTAGTAGATGTAGTAAAGGTATCAGAAGTAATCGAAGAGGTTAGGATTAGAAGATATGATTCAAGAAGTATGATTCAGTGAGATAAGTTAAGAAAGACAAAACTAGAGGTGTTGAAGAATCCAGAAGATTAGGATTTGAGAGAACACAAAGAATAAATGCACCGGCGCTATTGCAAACGAATTTGAGCCATGTCATTCAAGGTCTCTAACCATCGATTATTATCATCTCGTGGAACCCAACCAGGTGGTAGTCGACAATTGGACCGCTCAGTCATCCTGACCCCATACCACATTAGCACATAAAGAAGGAAGGATTTGCTTGTGACCGACTCGGGGTCGTGTGCATTTACGGGTATTAGGGTGGACATCACTTCCCGGCTGTCCACACCGTGGAATTAGATTTCTTGAGGGACTTGAAAAGGAAGTTAGATTAGTGTTGGTCTTAGAGACCTGCCTGGCATGGTAGAACCTACAGGAACTATACGTTCCAGCTACCATAGCTCGGTTGTGTCATCAAGATACACAAGCTCGACCACCACGTCAAGGTAACAGCTACGGTCGGGAGCACATAGAGAGACCAAATTGTCAATTCAAATCCCATAGTAGTAGAGGTAGTAGAAGTATCACCAGTAATGGAGAAGATTAGGGATCAAAGATATGATTCAACAAGTAAAATCCAGTGAAATAAATTTAAAATTAAAAAAAATAGGTCACGATTAATGGGTATAATCTAATTTTTTGACAAAAAGCACTCACACCGTCATAAATGAACAAAGAATAAAAGACGGAATAACCAACAAAACAAAATGATGCACAAACGTAATATTTGACACGTAAATAAACCTGATTAAAGGTCAGTGTAAAATGAGAATTTTGTATATGATTTATCAAATAATGTAATCTGAAATCATGACTGTAAAGATAAAATTACTCCTCTATACATCTGTTTAGTTATTTGACCACGGCTCAGTGTGAAATAATAAGATTGGTTAGAATAATATGATTTATGGCGGGTAACACTAGCGAAATTGTGATAAAGTACTCAATCCTCCACTCAGCTTCCCTATCAGTCAGTTACAATGTAGAACATCGTGCATGAGTACATAAGTTCAGCACAGAGACGCAACTGTCAGTTCAAATTCCATAGTGGTAAAGATAGTAAATGTTAGGTTCATTACTAGGTATGCTTGAAGCTATTACGGGTTTACCTTAGTCGATAAACGCGAACGAGACAGTTAACCAGCGTCCAGGTAGGCTACCTGGATCCGAAAATGGCAAGACAGAAGTCTTCATAAGTGTAGAAAGTATATTCTACAAACAGCCAGGAAGCACAATACAATACAGCGCACAACTCTCGTTTATTTATACAAAATAGCACACTAAAATACACAGCAGCCAATGACAGCCAAAGATTTTCCTGAGGGGAAATGAAATCTCAAGGTCAACTGATCAGTCTATGAGCGCAAACGTGAGATCCAAAGTAAGGCATTTTATTAAGCGAGTTCTGGGGATCTAACGTCCCCAACAGTAAAGTATTAGCAGTAATGGAGAAGATTAGGGTTTGAAGATATGATTTAAGAAGTATACTTCAGTAAGATAACTTTAAAAAAAGAAAGAGATGTAATCTAGTTGGGTTCAGCGTTGAGACGACTTTGGGGGTCACCAAGTCAAAAGATGTTTTTCCGTATGCCTAAAAGTTAGTATTTGCTAGAAATATGCGATTATCTGAGCTTGGTTGCAACAGACAGTCGCCATTATCTGTTCGATCAGCTGGCGGCTTCCCTATACTAGCATGTGCATGCAGTTCAATAGATTGGGAGTAAGTGGATTTGAATAAACTGACAATAATGGTTAGTACAAATTTATATTACGCGACAACAGATAGCAACTCTTCATGATAAATGATCATAAATAGGAGACAATTAGTCTAAATAATTCATCAGAAACCATTGCAAAGACACCATTTGGCTTTAATTGCTTATGATAAAGTAAATGTTAAGAATAACGGGTCTATCAATCAATCATCAATCAACAACAACGTAGAACTTCGTACGCACGTACGTACATCAGTTCAAGTTTCCATACCACATTAGCACAAAGGTGTATTTGTCGATTCAAATCCCATAACAGTAGAAGTAGGAGCAGTAATCGTAAACAGCACCGTCCGAAGAAATTATTCAAGGAATATAATCCAATCAAATGAATTTGAGAAGAGAACCATGAAATTCATGTGAAATTCAGAAGACTAGAATTTAAGAGAATTCCGCCAGTAGAACCTTCGGGGCTACTGCCGGTCCCAAGCCCGGATAAAGGAGGAGGGTTGAACATGGGGTTGGCGGCCCCGTCCCGTCAAAAACTAACTTGCCAAAAAAAACGCTAACCAGAATTTGAGAGAGCACAAAGAATGAATGCAACTGCGCTATTGCAAAAGGTTTTGAGCTATATCATTCAGGGTCTCAAACCATCAGAAGGAAGCCAAGGACAAAGTTGGTTGGAGAAAACTGGTGGGCAGCTTATGCTCCAATGGGGGTAACAGGCGTAAGTAAGTAAGTAAGTCTCAAACCATCGATTACTATTGTCTCGCAGACCCTAACCACGTAGTCAATACCTGACTCAGTCCACTTGTCAGTGACTTCTTCCTGGATTTATGCCATGTTTTGGTCTTGCCATGTCCAGTCTGGTCTATTAATATATATATATATATATATATACATATATATATGACTGTAACTCCACCTGGAACCCTCCTAGGATAACTGCCAGTCCCAAGCCCGAGTACAAGAGGGTTGAACATGAGGTTAGCAATTCCTTCTCATAGAAAACAAACTTGCTGGAAAAAAACGCTAAGCAAGAAATAAAATATGTAAACAGAAATATACTTACTTGTCATTGGATAGACAATGTGTAAAGGGGATCCTTGGATAATTTTGTTTGCCTCTCGCTAACAGAAAAAAAAATTGCAAACAAATGTAAAAGATAAAAAAAAAATCAAAATATCAAACTGAACCCCACAAGTTAGAAAGAGTAAAAAAATTAGGGCAAAACCATATCCCATGAACAAAAAAAATTTGAACATGTGAATTACAACTAAAACAGATTTGTACAAGCGCGTATAAAAATAAACTCAGTTTATTCATATTGAATAGAAATGTGCAAACCACTAACCAACTATCCAAATGAAAATGTTTTGAAAAAAACCATACTGAAATCAAACCAGTTTTTTTACAAAACAATGATGAAACAGTGGTGTCAAATAAAACAACTAATAACCTGGTTTTATGTGTGTGACCTACTACTGAAGAATCCACTGAAACACAGAATGATCTCACACGACGTATACCAAAATATGTAGTTGGTGCAAGAGATAATTTCGACAAATGATCTGGACAGAAAGACGGGTTCGGTGAATATGATCTTGTAGGCGGTTGGATTGTGGACTCTTGTGATGACGCTTTAGGTGAAAGACTATAAAGACTTGTAGTATCTGCCAAAACAATATTCAGTAGATTCTCAGAACAAAGTTTTTCCAATGAACATGATGTTGATAATTGACTGGTAGTGGAAAATGTTTCTTTAGAATTAGTTTTTACATGTGGAGAAAGAGTATGCATACCGATAGGTTGGTAATTTTCATAAATATTACTCGATGACCTACTTCTACAGCTGGCGCCACCACTACTACTATTATTATTACTACTACTACTACTACAACGACTAACATGAAGCTTTATAGTTGTGTTACACCCACCAGTAATGTGTTTACCATTCAATGTATCCGGCACATGAAGATGATTCTCATAAATTGTAGAATTATCGTTGCATTCATTTAGACAAGTTGATAGACTGCTATTACAAGATTTCATAGTGAACTGTTCATTACCTTCACTGGCATCAATTGATTTCATGCTTAATAACATTGGATTTTTCTGATTAATTACAACTGAACTATTTGTATTCACAAGTTTTTTGCTATCATCAAGTAAACAATGGTTTAATGGATAGATTGGCGCTGATAAAATCGACAGTTTTCTGTTTGTACATTGATCAATGTAACAATAATCAGTGTCCTTGTTTGTACTGTTATTATTATTATTATTATTATTATTATTATTATTATTATTATTATTATCATTGTCATCATCATAAATGTCTCCATTCAGATAAATGATAGGATAATTGAAGTTCAATGTGTTCAATTGTTGTTGAACAGTTGTTTTATTATTATGACTATTATTATTCTTAAGTAACGATTTCAATGAATGATCGACATCACAATGACTAGCGTATTGATAATAACTATTATCATGATGAATTTCTTGAATCTTAGTAGCAGTAGTAGTAGTAGTAGTCGTACAAAATGAACATGTAATGAACAAATTAACAAGTAACGATCTGATACGTTTTGAATGTTTCCGCTTACACATACAATGAACATTGTTATAATGTATAGGTCTACATAGAAAGACATTTTTTCTTGAAAAAGAGTAAGAGTGATGAGAGTGATGCGAGTGTAAACGTGTGCAAGAAAAAAAATGACACCACACACACACCCAGACCCATACACGCACACGTATCATAGATTGTTGACAGTACCGAAACCCATTGCATACCCATATACATACATAGACAGAGAGAGAGTAGTAGTAGTAGTAGAATCGGGACAGCGAAAAACGGGAGAAAAAAATACAACAACAATAAGAGAAAATATTACACAAAATTAATTAATTCATTAATAATAATTTTTCAATTTTAAGATAAAAGTAAATTATTAGCATGATTATTAACAAATGAACTACCTTTCCAAGTGAACTACTACTAGGCATAAATAAACCTTGTTGTTGCTGTTGTTGTTGGTGGTGTTTTTGATGTTGATTTGGTGCAACAATTAAATTATTTGATACATTCGGTGTTGAAGAGGAACGTTCACGACATGTTGATGATAAACATTGGCGTGGGAAATGTCCACTTCCACTTATCGATGAAGAGATTGGCAAATATTGACTAGTTAATAAATGATGATGATGTTGATTATAATAATAATGAGGATTGTGATTATTATTACTACTAGTAGTAGTATCACCACAACTACCAACACCAACACCACCACTAGCGCTTACAGTGGAATTAGTCAATACACGTATAGTGGTGGTTAAATCTTCCGGATTGAAATGATGCAAATGTGTATAACCTGGTGTTGTATTAGATGAAACTAACCAATTGGATCCATGTAGAGATGATGAATTGGAAGTACCTAAAGAGCTAGTGGGTTGGTTTATCATTGAAAAGGAAGAAGTTAATCATGACATTAGTAATAATTATGCAATGGAATAGAAACAAGTTATAGTATTTTGATAGTGACTTATGCTATGTTTGCCTAGCCACCGACTGCCTTGACGAACAATGTTTTGTGGTGTAGGAGTAGGTCGAAAGAAAGCTAGTGTGGTGCGAGCTACTTATAAGTAGTATATGACGTAAGTGTCAACGCAATGTCTGGCGGCAGCATAATATGGGGGAAGATCAAGAAAGGAAGAGTTAGAAGAACACAATAGAATTTGTATGAAACGCATGAATAGTGACAATGGATTGATGTTTTGCAACAGGAACAGTTCAGTTCGATATTATGAACTGATATTTTGCAAATGAACGATTTACGATATGGTTTCCCAATTTTACTGAGTAACTCTGTAATTTTCGTTAAATACAATTCGGTTGCCCCACCTGTGTTCTCCTTCACTACACTAGGAGCGGCTAAACCAAAACATGGCATAAATCTGTGAAGTCACTGACAACTGGACTGAGTCATGTTGGTAGATGCAGACTAAGTGGTTGGGGTCCGCCAGAAGATAGTCACCGATGGTTAGAGACCTTGAACGATATGGCTCAAAATCGTTTGCAATGGCGCAGGTGTATCCACTGCAATTCTAATCTTTTCAATTCATCATCTTTATCTTTCTCTTCCTAAAGTTTTCCAACTGAAGTATACTTCTTGAACAATATCTTCCAACCCCAATTTTCTTCTTTACGATTAATACTTCTACATTGTAACTGACTGATTCTGATTGCCATAACAACCGTATTATATTAGACCGTTAGGCATAATTAAACTTTACAGGAAATTAATGAGTCGGTCAGTGAATTACAACGTAGAACTTTGTACGTATGTACATAAGTTCAGGTTGCCATAATACCACATTTATACAGAGAAGCAATTTTCAGTTCAAATCTGATAGTGGTATTACCGGTGAACGAGAATATTACGGTTCGAAGATATTATTCAAAAAGTATAATTCAGTGAAATAAATTTAGAAAGAGGAAGATAGAGATGATGAAGATTTCAAAAGATTAGAATGTAAGAGAACACAAAGAGTGGATGCATCTGCGCCATTGCAAACGATTTATAGCAACATCATTCAAGGTCTCTAACCGTCGGTGACTATCGTCTCGCGGACCCCAACCATGTAGTCTACATCTATCAACATGAGTAGTGTAATGAAGTCTGTGCTAAGTATTTTACTGTTTGAACCAATGTAAAATAGCGAAATAAAGTGTAGCATATTAATCGACATTCAGAAATCAAAAATTGTAAACAAATTATACTGAAAATTCTATTCCTTACTTTTTATCATTTAAATCATAAATCAATCACTGTTAGACTACCATTCGAAACCTGGACGGCCGTTTCGTCCCAATATAGGACTCTCTTCAGAAGTGCGCGTCTATGACCTCCGCTTGCGGGAATCGGACCCAAGACAATCGGTTTCGAGCCCGGATGCTTTAACTCTAGACCATCACTGGACTGACAACATTTAACAGTGTTGTCGTCTAACTTTAATCAAACTAAGGCATTTTTAATTCACAGAAAGTTTAAATTCAAATGAAATATTCAGAAAAAAACAAAGAACAATTTTAAAAAGACATGAAAAATACACTAACAATCACTTACTTTCGACTGCTTAATTGATCACCACCAGCATAGAAAACATCATCATCATGTAAATTGGATAGACAATTTTTATCCACACGTGGTAGACAACGATTATGATAAGCGCAACCACAAGCTTTACATATAGCACCTTAAATATTGATATATCAAAACAGAGAGAGAGAGACAGATAGATAGAATCAAATAAATAAAATTTAGACAAGAATGGAGAGAGTGGACCACTCTGGCGGACACAAATTGAAGCAACTAATTCCGATGATAGTTCACCACTCGACCTGTAGTGTTCGAGTAGAGTGCTTTTATTCAGGTTAATCTACTTCTTTGGTACACCTTTCATTAACAGACACTGTCACAGAACTTCAACGATTCACTGAGTCAAATGCCGCTTTAATATGTCCAGGAAGACAACTATTGTAAGATGCCTAAATGTGTGTATGTTCCAGATATATAAAGACAGAGACAGATAGATAGATAGAATCAAATCAAATCAATTTCTTACTTACCATGAAATATTGATTTATGGCATAAATTACAATAGGCTTTCTCGAAAAATGTTTTTCTTTGAAAATGATGTTCCAAACGTTTAATATTTCGTCGAGCAAAGTCTACAATTAATTCTTCACCAATTAAAGCAATTTGTTCAGCATCATCTTCCCATGAAACTGGTAGACTAATAAGAGTTGATTATTATTGAAAAGAAAATAATTAATGACAATGAGAGTTTTAAATGAGAAAAGAGAAAAATATTTACTACTGAAATTATGGATCAGTCATTGTTAGACCGACATCAGAAACCTGGAAGCACTAGACGGCCATTGCGTCCTTTAGTATGGGACTTATCATCACTATGCTCACTAGTGACTAGTAGCTTCGTGAGGAAGTGAGAAGTATTGACCAGTGGAGTTCAACTCCTTCGTGAGTAGGCAGTAACTGCCGAAGACAAATGGGTAAGGTTGCACAAATTCACTAGATTGATCAAAGTTAGACATTTACACCGTTGGATACTGGCTCAATGGTCTACAGGTTAAGCGTTCGCGAGTAGCAGGAGTGGTGAATACACACTGCTGATGAGTCCCGTACCAGGACGAAACAGCTGTCCAATGCTTCCAGTTGTCTAATGTTGATCTAACAATGATTGATGTCAATACTAATAACAACAATCTCCAGAGCTCTATCATCAAAATTATTTACATTGGAACAGTACAACAATTCATAAACGAGTACTTAAACCACTGAAAGTGTAATTCAACTTGACAAGGATTATTTATCCGATCATTTACAATAAAATATTGGCCTACTGGACAACCAAGAATTACTCAGATTTTTTTATCATCAAAATGGCATGAAGCCTGAATACACAATAATGAATAATCCTATGCAAATATTGAACAGGCGATTACGTCACTGTTGTAATGAGTGGTCACAGAGACTTAAAAATGACAGGAATTATTTGATGCTTTCAAATTTATTATCATTTATTAATAACCCTTACAGATGACAACATTGATTCGAATAATTAATACGATTATGGTTAGATTGTACGCGCAGCTGGTGAGAAACTACGAAGTTTGTTGTTCACACTCTACGTACGGTTGGTTCAAAATCATTTGCAATGGCGTAGAAGCATACATCGGCTGTTTTCCTTCAAATTCTAAGCTTCTCAATTCTTAGTAATAGTGTTTATTCTTACAATTTGTTTCCCTGACTTAGATTTTCTTGAATCTTTTCCATGACCATTGATACTACTACTACTGTGGTGTGAGCTACTTATAAGTAGTATATGACGTGAGTGTCAACGTAATGTCTGGCAGCAGAAGATGAGGGAAGATCAAGAAGGGAAGAGTGGGAACACAATGGAATTTGTATGAAACGCATGAATAGTGACAATGGATTGGTGTTTTGCAACAGGAACAGTCCAGTTCCATAGAATGAACTGCTATTATGCAAATGAACGATTTACGATATGGTTTTCCAATTTTACTGAGTAACTCTGTAATTTTCGTTAAATACAATTCGGTTGCCCTCACCCGTGTTCTCCTTCACTACAGTAATACCTCTATTATCTCTACCACTTTAAGGATTTGAACTGACAGTGGCGTGTCTGTGCTGATGCGGTTATGGTAACTGGTAACTTATGTACTCATGTACAAAGTTCTACGTTGTAACTGTCTGATTGACTGACTGAATTAGGAAGATATTGAAATGTACTTTATCGAATAACACCACTATAAACGCGTAAAATTAAGCGGAGAGAAATGGAACACAGTGAACACATGATGATCTTTATATCAGAAAAAAGTTAAAAACGAAACTCAATCAGATCCTAACAATTCGATTTAGAACGCATTCGTACTACGTGTTATATTAGTACAATAGACGAAGATAACACCTTTGTAGACTTTAAGCCCAAGACTTATACTCTAACAGATAACTCTTGAGAAATGCAGACAGACAGACAGACAGATACAACGCCGAACTTCGTACGTAAGTACATCAGTTCAGGTTGCCATGCCCCATCAGCACAGAGACGCAACTGTCAGTTCTAATCCAACAGTGACATAGCAATAATAGAAGTATTAGCAGTAATGGAGAAGATTAGGGAGCGAAGATTTGATTCGAAAAGTATTATTCAGTAAGATAAATTTAAAAGGAGAAAGGTAGAGATTATGAGGAATGCAGAAGATTAGAATTAAAAAGAGTGGATGCACCTGAGCCATTGCAAACGATTCTGAGCCATGTCATTCAAGGTCTCTAACCATTGGTGACTATCGTCTCGCGGACCCCAACCACGTAGCCTACATCTACCAACATGACTCAGTCCACTTGTCACTGACTTTATGGATTTCTGTCATGTTTTGTTTTGGCCGCCCCTAACTTTCTTCCAACCTACTCCTACACCATAAAACATAGCTCTTCGAGGCAGTCGGTGGTTAGACATTTGTAACACATGTCCTAACCACCTCAACTAAGAAATGCTTACATATATAAGTAGTACGTATTATTAAAAAAATTTTTGAAACTAAAAACAAAATTACCCTGTACGTGATCGATAAACAATTAATTGTTCTAAATGTAAACCACGATGTGATAATTTCTTTTCTAATGCATGCTTAATTTGTTGACCGGATTTAATTTCAACTAATGTAAATTGACTATTTGGAAAATGTGCACGTAAACGTAATTTTGTTGTAGATGTGGTTGTTGTTGTGGTTGACGGTTGAGTTAATTTCACATCGGATGATTTATTATGAATATTTTGTACAATACCTAATGATGATGCATTATCAAATTGAATTGGTGAATTATTTGATGACAATGATATTGATGATGACGGTAATAGCATAGTGGATGGCGATTGAGATGATCCGGCGGCAATGGGTGATTTAATTGATCCCAGCGTTAAATTTATACTATCATCTGTATTGTTATTATTAATGATACCATTAGTTATATTATTGGTATTATTATGATTATTATTCAACATCATACTTGTCACCATCATTGTATATTGATCAAGTTTCAATTTCCAATCTTCCAATTCACATGTATACTTATCAATAGCTGATTGAACAATATTAATATCATTCGATACTTCATCATATTCTTTTGTAATTAAACCAGAAAAATCTTCATGACGATTAATAAAATTTAATAGCTGATAAGTTTTTAATTGTAAAGCTTGATTAACTAAAGTGAAATCAGCAATCTATCGGGAAAGAAAAGTTAGTAACAAAAGTATCATGTCTGATTAATAATAAAATAGATTAGAATAACAATCTATTACTTACTTTATAATTAATAGAGATTATTTAATGAATTATAATCATCACTGGTGAACTGCCTGAATACAGTACAATATTTCTGTATGCTCTGGTAAGCTCGAGGCAGTGGGGAATGTTCAATCTTATGGCGTAGACGAGATATCCGTTTGCTGACTAAAGGACAAGTGTACTGATCAGTAATTCGCTCCGTCTTACTTTATGGCTGTGAAACACGGCTAGTGAGAGTAGAAGATATTCGTAGGTTACTGGTTTTCGATCATAGGTGTTTGAGAAGCATTGCTCGTATATCGTGGGACACCCGAGTGAGCAACGCTGTTATTAGGAAACGGGTACTAGGTAAGAATGGCAGATCAATAGATGAAGTAATGAAACTTCATCAGTTGAGGTGGTTGGGACATGTGTTACGTATGCCTAACCACCGACTGCCTCGTCGAGCCTTGTTTTGTAGTGTAGGAATAGGTTGGAAGAAAGTTAGGGGCGGCCAAACCAAAACATGGCAGAAATCTATGAAGTCATTGACGAGTGGAGTTAGCCATGTCGGTAATTGTCGACTACCTGGTTGGGGTCCGCGAGATGATAATAATCGATGGTTAGAGACCTTGAATGACATGGCTCAAAATCGTTCGTAATGGCGCCAGTGCATTTATTCTTCGTGTTCTCTCAAATCCTAATCTTCTGGGTTCTTCAACACCTCTAGTTTTGACTTTCTAAACTTTCCTCATTTAATCATACTTCTTGAATAATATCTTCTCATCCTAACCTCTCCGATTACTTCTAATACCCGTAGTAACTCTTCTACTATTGGATTTGAATTGACAATTACAACTCTGTGCTGATGTGGTATGGCGACATGAACTGATGTACTTACGTACGAAGTTCTACGTTGCAACTGACTGACTGACTGGAAATGCTCTCACATAGCCACATGTATATGGCAACTATTAGGGAAGTTATATTCACCACCTTGTTACCACACGCGTTTTGTTTACCAAAGTATAATCAGTTAAATAAGATTGAATAAAGCGATTATTCTAATTAATATTAATATTACTAATAAATTAAAATAGGTGTTAAGCATCAATCAACAGCAACGTAAAACTACGTACGCACATCAGTTCATGTTGTCATACCACATTAGCACAGAGATGTAGTTGTCAATTCAAATCCCATAGTAATATGGATGGTAAAGGTATTAGCAGTAATCGGAAATTTTAGGGTTCGAGGATATTATTCAAGGAGTAGAATCTAGTGTTATAAACTTAAAAAGATATAGTGATGAGGAATCAAGAAGTTTAAGATTTGAGTGAACACAAAGAATAAATGCACCTGCACCACTGCGAAAAGTTTTGAGCTATATCATTCAGGGTTTCCAACCATCGATTACCATCGTCTCGCGGACCCCATCCACGTAGTCTACACCTAACAACATGATAACTAAAACAGTGCAGTTATCAGAGACTTCATGAATTTCTGCCATGTTTTGGTTTGGTTGCCTTTCTGGTTGCTTTCTTCCAACATATTCCTACATCGCAAAACATAGCTCAAAGAGGCAGTCAGTGGTTAGACACACGTTACACATAGCATAACAAAAATAAAATCCAGAGATAACAAATAAAAAAATCATGATAATCTATAGCATGATTAATCACTGACCTTGCTTTTTAAAGTATCACATTTTTGTTGAAGAATAGGTATAATAGTGACTGCTGAGTCAGAAGCAGTCATTGTAGAAAATAATAACAATTTTTCAATAAAACACTATGAAGTCAGACAGAACAGGTAGGATAGTTGTTATACCTGACGAAGTCTAGATAAATAGAAAAATAAAACACTGAATTTTTAAATCTTTGAATATGAACTCTAAAATGTTAGTGTTTCATGTAATTACAACTGTATTCAATGAATAATGAAATCCTTAAAAAAATGATCCATATGTATTATGCAACAACAATGTTTGCAATGAGTTTAATGACCCCAGTCGTTTCAAATTAAAAACAGAGTAAAACAACACGAAGAACAGAAGTAGTAAAATACATTTAGGACAGTACATTAGGAAAAACAAAGAAAACCGTATTAAATGGTCAAATGTACATTGGAACAAAGTGAAAAACTACGCCATCAGGTAGATCATAGTCATCGTTTTCAGATTTCATAGATTTTATATTTGGACTTACTATAATATGAGTGATGTTCTGTGATCACAAAATTGTATCTAGTCAGCGTGGGCATCAGAAAGGTTACTAGTATTACAGAATCCGAAAGTGAATAGCTGGCCTATAAAGATGCTAAATAGCTGAGTTCTAGAATTTTAGGAATTATGTCAGTTTAAATAGTTACCGTTTGGTTATTGGTAAAATGTGTACATGACCTTAGTAGCTTGTGAAATTTTAACTCATGGCTGGAACTTACAACAAATGATCTGGTTTGAACACAAATTTTATTAATGAGGTTGACAGTTTAAAACAATAATGAGTTCATTTTACAAACTCTAGATACAGCTAAAAATTATAGAAACATTTACAGTATAAGCAAGGTTCCCAACTACATTTATGTCTTAGAATGAACGACTAGAAAGGGTGGTTAAAGCACAATAAAATACACCTTTTTCAAAAGTAAGTAATATTTAAGTGAACAACTATTCTCAGTAACTCCGTCATCCAGCTATCAGTTCATAGTTATTGAGTTATTTTACAAAGGCCGAAAAAACATGCATTATTGAATTAGACAATTTTATATGTCACAAACGGTGAAAGTATGCAACTATAACGGTATAAATACTCCAACATTGTGCTACTGGTAAAGTAAGAAAGTCATTTACTAAAGGTTAGAATAATTCGAAGTTAGGAGTCCAGCTGTAAGCAAAATAATAGTACAAGAAATACAGTCAATAAAGTTCATGGTAGGAGAATTTATTATCGACAATGAACATAACAATAATAGTAATAAGGACGTTATGTAAATAAAATACGTAATATGAACGGTGGTCAAAATAACTAAGACTAAAATAATTCATATGAATCGGGAAACATGAATGTGTAGATTAAGAAAGACATAAATACAAAAGGAAATAAGGAAGGGGATAAGAGGTTTATAATATTCGGTTTAAGTTTCTAATGCTTCTGTCATGGCCAAGGTAAACAAAGTGGCTGCACATAATACCTCTTCCGGATACATAGGTTACATTTCCTGTAGTTGATCCAGACGGTTTCAGATATGTGGAGGAGTCACAACCTAGATCCTTTAGGCATAGTCTGGAACTTGATATAAAACAGAGAAAGCTTAATTTAATTTGTTTTGATGTTCACTATCTACGCTTTCCATAGGCAACAGGATAATCTTCACCACTACAGACGGCATTAGTTGAGAACTAGACAGGCTCTCTGCACTTCAAACATTTTTCCGGAGATGAAACAAATGTAAAAGGTTATCAATGTCTACCCATTTCAATTTTTTCCCAGAATTAACAGTGATTTTTTGAGAGCTAAATATGAAGATTAATTGATTGTGTAGAAAGGTATTTAAATACGCGAGAGATCAGCGTTAGCATCTAAAGTTCGTAAAATGAAGGGCGCTTGTCACTTTTTAGGCGAGCCTACAGAACGTCCTACCGTCAACAGAAAAATCGAACCACTTTGATGATGCGTGTTTCTGGAAAGCACACGTCATAAAGCATCACAAAACTAAGAAGTTGGTCTACCAAGTTGTAGAACAGGAATCCAACTTTAACACTGCAGCCTACTTTTCACAACTGTTACACTATAAGAAAAAAATAACTTAGTCAGAATAGCTAGTATATTATTCGACCCATAATGAGGTACACTAAATATTCCAGACGACCGAATTCTAAACTATACTAGTATGCTGACAATAATAAAACGAGATTCAAGAGTTATAAAAAATCTTAAAATTTTGCAGACTAACATTAAATTTGTCTCTCAGTAATTTTACAGTTCTATGCGAAACAAGCTAGTTTACGGTTAAATATCATCCCACTAACCGTTCCGCTTAATTCGAAATGTTGAGAACCATTTCACCAACAATGTCCAATTTGTTTGTGATGAACTCAGTTTTCACTTATGAATATTGGATCAAGAGACCAACCTTTTTAATGAAGTTTAGTTTTCGGGACAAGCTGCTATAATTAACTTCGTGTGGTGCTTTCACGGAATCTCCGGAGCTGATATGTCCTGAATGCTTGTCTTCCGATGAGATCGCCAATCTATTTCAATTAGTCAACAGTTCAGTGTCACACGACCTAACGATTAGGAAGCCATGTTTTCATTAAAGCTGCTGTGACATGATAACTATCCCACGACAGCTGCTTGGGAGACAGTGGCATTGGTCGGTAATTGAAAACCTCTTTGCAACCCCATTACATATACAAATATCAGTTTTTCAACTTCAGAAGTACTTAAGTTCACAAACAGGGAATGATAGTAGAAAGTAACACTAAGAAATTACATAGAACCTTCATATTTCTTAGGGACTCTGTGTTGGATACTATGCAAGCCTGAAGATTTGGGTGGACACAAAAAACGACTATGAATTTCTTTCATTTTGATAGTCCTGAAATCTTCAAAGCTTATATCAACATCGAGATAAATGGAGCCGGCATAATTAAGTAGGGTAATGAGGACCCAAGAATAGGTGAAGTGAAATCCCATAGCCAGCAGCTTAGTAACTTTAATATGGGAGCTGCTTGGTGTTAAATGATCCTGTTTCATAGCACTCAATATTGTGTGTGACTTATTTTTCATAAACTTCTACTAAGGTCTGGGAACTGATTTCCATAAACTTCATTGTGTGATTTTACTTATCCCGACTGCTTTTTTGAGCGCAAGATTTAGCAGAATGCGGTTGCGGTGTTTCGAAGAAGCAAGAATTTATGACCCGTGACATGGTCGCAATCAGAGTCCGAGTAAGTTCTAATAGTTTCGGGTCAATGCTCCGAGTTTAAACATGCTAACTTTGTAATGCCTTGTTCGGTATTTATCGGCAGTCAAGCAGATAGTAGGTTGCATTTAAAACCTGTGAACCCCTTTCAACTCATGTGATTCAAATTATTATGAGCGGAATAAGATATTTCGCATTTCGGAATCCACTGTTTGTAAACAATGGATTACAAAAGCTTCTAAGCAAGGATTCACGGATGCGCAGCAAGTATAAAAACAGAGGTATTAAAAATCAATATAACTGAGTTCTATGAAACATATCGGGCGACGTATCAAAGGAATACGCAAAATTTGCCTCGATCTCCTAAGGCTGTATGGATTTGAAGACTAGTATATCAGCCAGCGGAATGCTTTGAGATCACAGTAATTTCCTGACAAACGGCCGCTAAAGCCCGAACAAACTTGACACAGAGCTAATGATGAAAATTCTGTCCATCCCTGCGAGTGAGATTTCCTCGCGAAGCAGGCCCGATGGAAATTAACTGCTCTCACTGAGATAGGCAACTATCTGATTTTACATATTCGATAGAGTCAAAATATTTAGGATTAGGGAGAAAAAGGTTGACTGTATACATGTCCGTGGATTCTTAATGCATCTTACCCACAACGGTAGGCAGCATCAAGCGTTTTTCAGTTCATTAAGTAAGTGAGCACTTCCTACAAGTGTATAAAGTTCACTTGGGATTTAACTCCAAGCTATGAATCAATTTTTGTTTGTTTTTCCATACGGCAATTTAGTAAGAGCTACAGAAGACACAGTTAGATAGCTTAAGACGAATAAACGAATAAACGAATTCTGTGCTTATGAAGAAGGAAAATACTGAATTAATGAACAAGTAATTAATGACTCTGGATATCACTGGTTTGTTAGGCGCTGAATAGTAATGGTTATCCTCATGTAGATAAAAGGGAAAAAATAATGATTTGGGGCAAGATGTGTCATGACTACATAGTGAGGATACTGAGCCTTTTGGATACGCGAAGGTGAACATAGTAGATCGTGCTGTATTAAACTTCTCACTCAAAACAAGGCTCAGAATATCTCTCACCCAGAGTACTTTGACATCGAAGTGTCTCCAAGTCACTCCACCATGTAAGTCCACTACATCCGTATTAAGTTAAACATAAATCCGCTGAGTGTTTCAAAAATCGACATCAGAGGGCCAACTGATGAGATTCTGAATGATTGACTTTTTATAATTGCAGGACATATATGTATTTACATCTGTGAAGTTCCTTTTGCTCTAACTGAAGCGTCTCCCAGAAGGACAGTTCGTTTTCATCTTTTATATAAATGGACCGCCAGGTGCAATCAAACCACGATGTCACCGTATTCTGGTGCCACATAACGGCGCGTAGTTGTTGAGGCTGACGAGTGATAATCGAATGGTTTCATTCCAGCTTTCGAACGAACGATTTATTAGTTATATATATATATATATATATATATATATATATATATATATATATATATATATATATACATATATATATATTATTCATTCTTACAGCTCATTCCATTAAACTACGGGATCCTTTTATATACATGGGTATGAATGTCTGTCTCTTTACATTAATTCATCCGTTGGCTATTTTTTGTAAATGCACCTCATACTTTGTCAATTTGAGTTAGCGGAAAACTGCCCTCTTTTATATTTATCACTCTTTGTCTGTCTGGTTATTCTGATTTATAAAATGCACACCTGTGAAATAGATCATACCAAGCTCTTAGTTTCTGTTTTACATTAGAGTGATCAGGCAAGAGAATATACATGCAGTTAAATAGGATCTGAGACTTTAAAATCAACCTCGCTATCAGTGAAATCAAGTCGAAGTTTCCTAGACATGTAATTTAAGCAGTCTCTGCGAGCACATGACATGTGATCAACGTTAAATTCAAAGTTGGTAGAATTTCTGTTGTCTAGTCTGAGCTCATAGTTTTCAAGATATTCCACTAAGTCACTACTCAAACCACTACAGTTTACCGTCATTAATACATTCCCCATGACTATAAGTTGCTGTGAAATATTCAAGATAAGGAGATTTTAACCCACTGTACAAACCTGTTACAAACAAAGTTCATGTTTCTGGCAGAGAGAACAAAACAGAAAAGAACATGGTCCTGATAATTTTCGGTTTACCTTATTTGCAGGAAAAAATTGAAATAATCGAGGTGATAAGCTGAAGATTATGCTTATTCACAAAATAAAGTAGCGAAAAAATGGCAAACTAATTCCTCAGCTATACTCCGAACAATATGTAGAAAACATATAAAACTAGTTCAGTTACAAGGCTATGTTCGTAAATATACTTATCCCCGTAATTTCTCCCCTAATTCAAAACAAATTACTAGGGGTGAATTTCAATTCACAGGAATCACGCTTATCTGCTCAATAAACAAATTAAGACGTCGCAGTTGATACATCTAAAGTCGATCTTCTCTAACATTGGGACAAAGTATTACATATACTATCTACCCACTGGTCAACAAACATTTTTGAGTTGTTATATCAGATATTAGGCTACCAGTAAAGGTAAAAGTACGATGCACTCCTCTATTGCCTCTCCAGCTTTATCTTTATGATTTCTCGTGAAAAATCTTCAAAACATTACCTGCTTTCTCTGAGATAAAATGCATTTCTAACAACTAGACGAGCTTTCATTGCTTTCTATCTTATTATTGAAAGTTCATAGTACTACTAAGCAAAGCACTTAACCCACCACTATAAAAGACCAGCGTATATTTTTACTTACTGAACACTCCAGCTTTGCTGGTTCTCCATAGTAAATATATGTGCAGAGGCGTGATTTTGCCAATCCTGAATATGGAAGACGATTCAATAAAAAAGTTTTTATTAAGTTATGCTGAACTACCTTTTTGTTGTCTAGAGTAAATAGCATTTCTGAGTCACTTATGTTCAAAAACATTATAGAAACATGTTTTATGCCGACCGATAAAAAATTATACCGAAAATTACATGAAACCTTATAAATATTGATACGACTACACATTTAGCGAAGTGAACACTCTAAGATAACTTTTTGTGGTGTGGTGTGGTTATTTCCTTGCTTTTTGACCATGTTTTGCATTTAAATTTTACACAAGCCTTCTGTAACTACGTTTTATGTTTCTTAGTCATTAGTATTCAACTTCAGTCAAAGGAAAGGAGGAAGGCCAAGAAACATATTACGCCGAGAAATAGGGACAGACATGAAAATAATGAATAAAAATCGGACAGAAATGGAAGGGGAAGCCCAGGACAGAGTAGGTTGGAGAACACTTATTGGCGGCCTAAGCGTCAATGGATGTGAGCAAGTAAGTTTATTTAGTGTTTACTACTTTGATTTTATTGTTGCTTGTTACCGAGTCGCTAACAATCACGTTGTGTTTAACTAAACTGAGGGTAAAGGCATGGTTACATAATTATCAACCTTTAACTGCCTACCGGAAGCAGTATCACAGCGTTAATAATTGCCGTGCAGGAAGTAAATTGTAAGAATAGATTTTTGGCGTTCTTATAAACAGACTTATGAGAAGCAGGAGTATGAGCGAGTGTTGTTCATCATTTGCAATAAGACCAGTAAAAGCAAACTAAAGACAAGTAGTGAACAGACATTGAAGTATCTGACCTACAAGCTGTATTATTTAGGCAAATAATTAGCGATGCGACGAAAGTGATTCGGTCAACAATTCTGTAATGAGCAGTTTTAGGAAATGGACAGCAATATCAATGCAAATTCTTGAGACTGGTTAGAACCGATTTGTTAGGAATACGGTACTACCTATCCAACTGGTTTGGTTCATTCTGTTCAAAGTAAGGGGCCGAAATTGTCAGGGATTTAGTGCATACTTCAATACAAAAAGGACGAATCAAACCAACCACTTAGATAGAATGCAATCAAAGAAAGGTAAATAAATGTGGTGGATGTCGTCATCAAAGGCGGTGTAAAGAAGTGCTGTTAACCAAATGATACGAAAACAGGGTTGATACGATGGTACGACCGAAATTGTACATATTAGTACGCATATTGTCCTAGATCAATAAGTAAACATAAAAAAGAGATGGAGAAGAAATCTCAAGAAGCAAGAGGAAACAAAACCTTTTTTACCACATGTATAGGATATCATAAGAGTTTTCCAACACACACTCTTTAACACAAATATTTACGACAAGCGATAGATATACACCTGGCTATATTATTACGCCCAAGTGTATAAGTTTGTAATAAACAGATGCAAATGTATTATCATATGATAAATCGAAATTGTTAGATTTAATTTCTTGTTCAAAAGTTATGACAAGCTCACATGAATCATTTCACAACTGATTTATCATTATTGCACATGCATATGTACTGAGTTAAACAAACCTGGGTCTAAGAGCTCATTCTATGCACTTTCAAGACGTATTGCTATCCTAAAGGCTTTGAAAACATGATATTAGGGTGAACATTCACAAGTTATCAGAAATATAATCCCTTGCTAACAAGCAATAAAATTCTTAGCGAGATGTATATATACTAAGAGAGGGATCAGCGTTTTTGGATGAATCGATTTTAAAATTGAACGGACACAAAACGATCAACATTCAGATCTATGAGATGGGTAGTCCGTCGTCGGTATCATTTTGGAAGTCACCCAAAAAAATGAATTCTGTAAGAAAGCGTCCTTATGTCCAGCCTAATACTTGAAACTTCAATGTAAATTTTCAGCCAGTCTAATAATAAGACTTATTGTGCGTTTTTAATGTTTTTTAGCTTCACGTAATGTTCCAATTAACTTTCCCTCTTCAGATCTAAAGAGTATTAATGATACTCTGTAGATAATTTCATGATAAGCCAAAACGTTGTCCGAAGCTTAAAACATTTAAAGGATGCACTAAAACAATGAACCTTCATAGCATGATGACAAATAACATTTTAAAACCTTTAAAAATCCTTCCAACTGTCAGTAAACTTCACTTTCAACACAAATTTTAGGAGGGAATATTCGTAATTTAGAGTTTTAGTATGGTAGGTTAAACCGATGTATATTTTATGCGCTAAGTATCATGAAGTCATTATCTTTTGTTTTCCGCTCATTTCATAGTCCTAGTTCCTGAATAGCAGAAAAGACGATTCACTGCCATTATTTGACAAAGTATTTTTGGCGAAAACTTCTATCCAGTCCAGGACCATTTGAATAGTGTAAACACATGACACGACCTCTGCAATACTGATTTCATGGACATATCTGTTCTTATCGAACTGACTGGCATTTGTATTTAGCACGCAAACTTTAATTTCTTCTTCAGTGAAGATGCGGAAAAGTCTTTACGGATGTAAGCATCAATTTTGTTTTATTACATCAGTCAACATCAACTGTTGGAGTTTTTACCTTGTGAATATCGATGTAGTTATCGCTTTGAAAATAAACAGAAATGTCTTTATTACCGAAGAATGATTCTATGTTTTAGCGCATCTGTTCTGCTTCATATTTTCTTTGTTAAAGGTAAATCATAAAACTGATAGTCAATATTTAAAGTTTTAGCTTACACAGATGAACTAATCGATATATCATTTGGTCAACGAGATTCTGCCTTTCTTATCAATGACAATCGAAGTCTTGAATATGATTCGCCAACATATTTTGCATCTGCTAGCAATTCGGATCGTTATGAGATAGGTGCGTCATTAGGATTTTTGCACAGTTCTCTAACTATCCTGGGTGATAAACTGATTGAAAATTCGAAGCTTCATGTTACTGTACATACTTTTGATACAGAGATAAGTGAAGAAACAAAAACACTACACGTCCTGTGCCACGCAAGTTACTATGGTAAAATCAGTGAATTAGGATTAGAAACAAGAAGTGTGTGTTGCATAATATCTATCAATGCTTCGTACTTCAATGAGCTGACATCTTGTGTACTGGTTATTGATCAAGCTAATGAAAACTGGATATGCCATGCATCAATTCAACTTCCACCAGCCCTTTGGAAGCAAAATCGGTCGCCAGAAGTTACTCTTGCATATACATCATCAGGTTTTGTTTCAAATTCGGACAATGTCAAACAGTATATCATTCACGACAATTTTAGGAAATGTCATACATCAGTTAATAACCATAAATTATCATTTACTTCTATTCCATCAGTTACCATTGCACATTCAGTCCCAGATGCTATTCGTGAATTAGGGAGAAGCCTATTGTTACAGATTCCGAGGAGGGAATTGAAAACAAATGAAGAATTTTTTGTAACTGTTCGACTAAAACGCTTTGACGATGTTTCGGATTTTACTTTGAGGTATGTATTTTACTTGACACTTGTAATCAGTTACCCAAAGATTCTTATGTACGGTTAGGGACACAGAAACAAGTGACATCAGTTGATCAAACAACTTAAAATTTAAGTGTAACATAACTTTCTGACATCCACCCTACTAAGACCACCTAAATATCCCTGTTCTGATCACTTCCATGGAAATTTAAACTTTATAAACAATGTATATCAAGCCACTTGTAACTTCTTTTTAACTGGTTTTGTTCATTTTGAGGGAAACAAAAACTAAGACATTATCCCTTGTAATTACGAGCACATTAGAGTCTAAATGAGAAATATCTAAAATTATTCCTACTAATATAATTCATTTCAATCAGTAGAGTTTTCTGTTATTTGCGTTTTTATAGATTTTAGGCTTATTCATATGACTTGATTGTTTTATACGGAGCTTTTAGATTTATTACGAATTAGTTTAATTGTAAAATATCTGAGGTTTATCAAGAGAACTCATGAAAAGCCTCAAAGTTGAACGTTTAGGGAGTAATTTAACTAACTCACATATACTTTTAGCCTCAAATTACTCAATCACTAGTTCACTAAAACCTTAACGTTCAATGATCTATCTTAAACAAAATTGACAAACTTACTGCATAACTGAAATACAAAGGATCACCAGGTGTAACTTTGTTTTAGCATGTGATCATAAAGTATCATCAATCAAAACACTTCCCTCATCACAAAAGACAACGTTCTGCAGTAAACAACATCGCATCAAATCAAGTAATGCAACACTGTTGTATTTTGATATGGCAAGGTTTTTAATATTGTAATTAACATATAAAACACTGATCACTTCCCTATCAAGCAGTTCAAATAATTGACCTAAGACCTGAGATATTATTCAAAGGCATGCAAACTCCTCATAGAATATTAAATAATATGAAATCTTAGAGTAAATAGCCAAAAAATTGTTAAACGATATAATCAAATTAATAAGAAAACTGCTCATAAAATAAACATACATAATACACAAACTTTGCACTCATATTTTATGTAAATGAGATCAAACTTAAATATTCTTCAGTAACTACACCCTATATATGCATGAATAAAATGGCAGATTTTCTGTTTTTATGGTCAAATCATAAATTAATAATGCAGTAGCTTGCTCACAGTTGGACAATTTGGAATAGGAATACAACTGATTAATATTTTTGACATTCATAAACCCTTTAAAAATCTTGAGTGCTTGCTTTACAAGAAAGTGACTATCTGAACTCAGTTATCTATTGGGTGATTTGGAAAATACTAGGTTTGATCCCTATTGTGAACATCAGCACTGAGATATAGGTACATGTAACTGATATAATTTCAGATGGAATGAAACAGATAATCCTTTCAGAATGCTTATATGTCAATAGACAATGATCGATTGCTGTGAGAAGCATCAAAAAGCGCAAAGTACGAGCTACTATAGACAAAATTCACATGGATAGTATATAAAGATGCTATATTGGACATTACTGAGAAAATAATAATGCGGATTCCGTCCCTGACGGTTTACAAATATTATTTTATTAAGAAACAACTTAAATCTAAGAACGTTGACTTCATTTTTCTCAATGAAATATTACTCACTGACTGTATTCTATGAAAAGTCTAATTCATGAACTCCATTGGCCCTATGCATTCTATACTGAGCTTTCAGATCATTACCTATAGGCTTGAATCTCATTTCATCTACACTGATTTTAACAGATGAATAGCTTTCAAATATACTATGAATTATAGACAGGCAGACAGATACAACACAGAACTTCGTACGTACGTACATCAGTTCAGGTTGCTATGGCACATTAGCACAGAGATGTAATGGTCAATTCATATTCCATAGTAGTAGATGTTATAGAAGTATAACCAGTAATCGGAGAGATTAGGGTTCAAAGATATTATTCAAGAACCCAAAGAATGAAAGCACCGGCGCCATTGCAAACGGTTTTGAGCCATGACATCCAGGGTCTCTAACCATCGTTTACTATCCTCTCACGGACCCCAACCAGGTAGTCGACACCTACCAACATGACTCAGTCGAGCTGTTAGTGACTTCATGAATTTCTGCCATGTTTTGGATTGACCATCCCTAGCTTTATTTCAACCTACTCTTACACCACGAAACAAAGCTCGACGACACAGTCGGTAGTTGGGCATTCGTAACATATGTCCTAACCATTTAAACTGATGAAGTTTCGATGAATTATAGATGAGTATATCAATCAGTTTTTAAGGAATGAATGATAATCATTTTTAACATTATCATGATATCATTTAGAAGTATTCAGTTGTATTATTTTTCATCTCAAGATATTTCCAATATCTTTATTTTATTGCCATTATTATTTCAAGAATTCAATTTATAACAAGCTTTTATTTATATTCAAAAAGAAAAAACTGCTTAACACTGAAAAGATTCAATAAAATGACTATAACTCTTCATGACATTAGTTCACTTTACAAATTTAAACAAAACAAAATTGAATTTTTATTATATTTCAATGTTTTTAGCTTTATAGATTCAGACAAACTGATAAATTTTTATCTATGAATGTCACCAGAAAAAAATTAAAAAAATTTCAAGAAATGTCTAACAATCAATAACAAGTATTTTACAAAGCAAATTAAGTTGAGAATAAAAAAATATTTTTAACAGCATTTTTATTTATCAGTAGTTACCAACCAGTAGTAGGTGTCTAAGAATATTTCGAATAATTTTTATTTCCTATAAAAAAATTCTATATGACTTAAAATTATATATGTGAGTAGCATTTGTCTTTTGATACAATCCAAATTATGTTAAGTTGTTAACAATACTCAATAATTAAATTTACAAGTTTTGTTCGTTAGTTGAAAATTCAAAGCAATGAGCTACTATATGAGTTTCTCTTTTTTTTGGTTCAGCGAATGTTATTAGTTTTCTCAATTTGTTTTGACTAGATTTGGATTCAGACAATCTTTGTCTAACTGAGACTGTTTTATCGCTTTTTAACAAAAAATGAATCTATTTGACGCTTTTGTTTAAAGATTAAAAAAAACAATTATTTATTTCATACTTGTCGAATTTTGTTTCATCTAACAAAGTATCCGACTCAATTGAAATCATTATTTGATGTTTGCTTGTTGGATTTTCTACAAGAAATGTTAAAATTATAACAACTTACTTACTTACTTACTTACTTATGCCTGTTACCCCCAATGGAGCATAGGCAGCCCACCAGTTTTCTCCAACCAACTCTGTCCTCCTGAGCTTCCCTCTCCAGTTCTGTCCAATTTTTCTTCATTCCTCTCATATCTTTCTCTATTTCTCGGTGTAATGAAAATTATAACAAACACACTTGTAATTAATGTGAAGAAAGAAATCGTTAGACCATTAAATGAAAACTTGGGAACACTAGAAGGCTGTTTCGTCCTAGTATGGAACTTATCAACAAGAGGTGCAACTAAAAACTTTGTGGACAGGAATTTGATCCTGACCTCAATCTCTCAATCTCTTGACCACTAAACCGACGGTGTTAATATGGATTGACTGAAGCTAGAAATTAACACTTTTGTGATAAAAGAAGTTGAGCGTTCGCGCGTGACGTCTTAGATCTTGGGTTCATTATCCGCAGTAAGAGGATCGTGGCTGAGCATTGCTGACGAGTCCCAAAATAGGACGAAATGGCTTTCTAATATTTCTAGATTTCTAATGATGATCTGACAGTGAATAATAATTATATACTGGTGATCTCTTCTGATGGATTTTGTAGTCCTTCACTAATCAACGAATCACATGAGAAATAAACTAGTTCTTGTGTTATTTCAAATGATTTAATATCTACCTTAATTATAGTAGACTTACTATAGAGCAATAATTGTGATCACATGGGATTCTAACTTTTTAATTTATAAAAATAATAATAATTATTATTATACTTTCTATGAGATATATAGTTTTTTAAAGCTCAAATGAATTTGAGAATGAATTGTAGATGAGAACTACTACAAAGTAGTCAGTCATATACTTTATGGTTCCAGTGATTCTCTAGAGTAAATTTTAGTGTAGACTTAAAACTATGGTATATTTGATGTGTCTTTTTAAAATTTTACGCTTGTATTATATTTTAACCATAAAACTGTTTTATTACCTGTCTCTTTCATTGATTATTGAAAATAGTAGATAATTAATAATTAATAATAAATATATTCGTTGGGACATGTGTTACGAATGCCCAACCACCGACTGCCTCAACGAGTTATGTTTTGTGGTGTAGGAGTAGGTTGGAAGAATGTTAGGGGCGGCCAAACCAATACATGGCAGAAATCCATGAAGTCATTGACAAGTGGACTGAGTCATGTTGGTAAGTATCGAGTACATGGTTGGGATTCGCGAAATGATAGTAACCAATGGTTAGAGACCTTGAACGACATGACTCGAAAACCTTCTGGATTCGTCAACACCCATACCTCCGTATTTCTAACCTCATCTCACTGAATTATACTTCTTGAATAATATCTTCAAAGTCCTAATCTACTCCATTAGCAGTAATTCTTCTACTATCTCTTCCACTATGGGAGTCTTTAACCATCGATTATTATCATCTCGTGGACCCCAACCAGGTAGTCGAAACCTACCGATATGACTTAATCCACTTGTCAGTGACTTCATGGATTTGTGCCATGTTTTGATCTGGCAGTTCCAACTTTTCTCCAACACAGACCTATATTATAAAACATAATTCGTCGATGTAGTCGGCGGTTGGTATGGGTTACACATGTCCCAACCACCTCAACTGGTGAAGTTTCAATACTTCATCTATTGACTTGCCATCCTTACCTTGCACCCGTTTCCCTATGACAACATTGCTTACTTGGTTGTCTCATGATCGAAAACCAGTAACTTACAAATATGTTCTATTCTGACTGTCCATGCCTCACAGACATAAAGTAGGACAGCGATCTATTGCTGAGTACACTCGTCCTTTAGTCAG